ATAGAGATCATCGTATGCTTTTTGTAGAATAAATGGGTCGGCGCTGTTACTGAAGCGAATATTTGTGAATAAAAACTTGGTACGACATATTTTTTGAATTTACTGAACTAGAAAAGCTTCAGGGATGTGAGAGTTCATCAAAGTCCTTCGAAAAAAAATCCTCAAAAGCCGATATTCATAAGTTTTCTTGGGAGCTCTTATGATTAGCTGCACTCAGCTTCTCAGAAAAAAAGCAGTCGGAAACAGTCGATCTGCCAATATTTTAAGTTTGTGCAAATCGACCAAAATCCTCACACCTCGTTCTTTTGCGACTGACACTAAATGAATGGGTGCAAGCAGATCAGTATTAATCAGTCCTTACAACGTACGCCACGCATTTCGTCGTAACTTACAAGCGCACGACTATTTCAAGGGTATCTGACCTATTCAACGACTCAAGGAGCGCAAGCGAGAATGCCAGTACATCCATCTGGAAGGAGGAATGACCCCTCGTGAATCTTGTATATGCGCTTATCAAGGCCAGCAATACATTCCTCTACACAGGCCAGATAACACAAAGGTAATCTAAGCTAGGAAAGCTTGGTTATGTACAGAGAGCCTGGATCCCTGAGAGGCACTCCTGCGCTTGTGAATCACAGGGCTTTTTCGCCTTGAATGTGATCGTTTCGAAATCAGTCTGAGGAAATTATGGGAGCGGGGGACATAGAGCAAGTATCCTGCATTGCACTTGCAGTGCAATACACTTCCGCAGGATCAAATCCAGTCCGAGACGAATAAACACTTTGAAGAGGCTGTTCGGCATTAGGTTCCTTCCGGGACATAAAGTTTGAAAGAATTAAATCGCCTGGCCTTATGAGCCTCTGCATTGATCAAATTTAGACGTTTCCTCGATTGGTATTTAAAGTCGAAGGCATGGCGTACCCCTATAATGGTATTCAAGACCAAGTACACACATAATCGACGAGCCCAACGAAAAAAAAACTTTGAACTCTTTGAGAAAACGATTTGAAAGGAGCTGAATCGGTCGAGAAGCTGTTCTGTGCCTGGCCAAATATTGTAGGAACAAAGAATTGTTCGGGGATAATCGAGAAATCAAAAAACATTTCGCACGGAAACGTTTTTTAACATCGAAAAAAGGTCAGACAAAGCCTTTCTAGGTCACCCAAAGGATGACCACAAGAACTAGCCCCCACTCATCCGCTAGCACACTCTAGAACGGTAATCTCGCGTCTTTTTTTTGCCCTTCGGGAAAATAGTCTTTCCCATTGGCCCTTGTATTGGCCCACAAAGTGTTGCTAACTTCCAGTTTCGTTACGGTAGAAAGGCGACTTGAATAAGCTCCTGTACAAGCCTCAAGATGAATTGCACCTCATTACAGATGATAAACACGTTCTGAAAACGAGCAGATTAACGATAATGAATGCTGATGAAGAAGAAAATGGGTCCTAGCACGAAAACAGGTTGTTGCGCTATTTTATTGGTCGGACGCTTAACAAAGAGACAGTAAAATGCGCACGTCGGCGATACCTAGCCGAAAGCTCTCGAAAAGGAAAAAAATGAAACAATTAATGGCTATGGTAGCGAGCCTAATCCAATCGTTGCTTGAATAGTTGTGTAGAAGAGAAAGGAATGCGGTACAGGGTACGAGTGCGGGGATGGAAGGGGGGATGACCGAACGGAGACGAGAGTGTCCCGTCGCTATTGTTTGCGGTCAACGTCAGTCGCTGTTGAGCCCGACCACCAACTGAAGACGAATCGATCATCCGCTTCGGTAAGATTGGACTAAGGGACGTCAAGAAGGGTATTAAGGGGTTTTCACGCCTTCAAACGCTTCAATTAGCCGGTTCTGAAGTAAATCGACTGCGACGCATTTCGGCTGACCACAGCCCTAAGCAGACACTGATGGACGATGGGTCATATGGGAAAATTCCGTGAGTTTGCGGAATGTACTGATGAATGTGATCGCATTTATGAAAAAAGATCGTGAGAATTTCGGCAAATGTACTCGCAATCACTTAATGACTTCTATAAAACCTGAATTTTATGACCGAAATCNAGACGAATCGATCATCCGCTTCGGTAAGATTGGACTAAGGGACGTCAAGAAGGGTATTAAGGGGTTTTCACGCCTTCGAACACTTCAGTTAGCCGGTTCCGAAGTAAATCGACTGCGACACATTTCGGCTGACCACAGCTCTAAGCAGACACTGACGGACGAGGGGTCATATGGGAAAATTCCGCGAGTTTGCGGAATGTACCGATGAATGGGATCGCATTTATGAGAAAAAGATCGTGAGAATTTCGGCAAATGTACTCGCAATCACTTAATGACTTCTATAAAACCTGAATTTTATGACCGAAATCCCAGACTATACTCGAGGTGGGAGATGACATAGGAATAGCACAAGATCAGCTAAGTATTTCTTACGTCTGGGACAAGCTGCAAGCTTAGATTGAAGGTTTAGAAAATAAAAATAAAAAAAATAAAAATAAAACCACAAACACTAAAAGACCTCTTTGAGTTTGAAACAGAATTCTCTACAATTTCGCATGAAAAACGAACGCATAAATTAGCTACCCAGTTATTCAATGCTGACCGCCTCGAGGTTTGATAACCATCGGCGTATTGGAATAGGTTGTCGACTAATACTACTGGACTGAGAATCCCACATCGTCTATATGTAGCTCATGACAAGAAGACTCGGATGTGACAGGAAGCAGAGATATGTTGGTTGGGTGACAGGGACTTGGGGAAACAATTAAGCCTTAGAGACCATCATCATAATTCATATGAATAAAAGTCTCTATAAATCAATGACAAGTCTCTTTAGAATCGCACTTAGGCAGCTATCGCTTCCAGAAAACCTTCACAAAATCAAGACACAAGGTGAAGCATTCATTTCACCATCCATCGCCATCAGTGCCTTCCAAACTATATAGTTGCTCAATCCTACCATAACCATGGAGTGGTCCTAAATTAGTCCTACCGAAGCTTTGAAGGGGCCCTGATCCGACGGTGATGGCATGTGCTGACCCGTTCTCCCAATTCAAAGATCCCGCCCATTGATAATTCATGCCATTTGATGGGAAAACTGTGGGAATTCTTCGCTCTACGGGAATGATATGAAAGATGTAGAATGTAAAAATTGAAATGAAATTTGGATTTCCCATGTTACTGATGGAATATTCAAGTAAGTCAAAGAATAAGCCTCAAGAAAAGAACGTCTTTCATAGAGTTTCTGTAGGGAGAACTGGTCCATTTGGCCCCGATGGTGGTTCTAGTTATTTGTGAGTTCTCTTCACCTCTGTTTTCATTAGTAATTTCAATGAACAGAATGTACAGCTTCCGTTAGTTCACACTACTTGAGATTCAAACGAGTTCTAATCAAAGTGAGGTTTGGTCACACCCTCAACCCCATCGAAAGTAACAAGTTACCAGAAGTTTTCTTCTCGAAAAATAAATTCTGGTTTTTTTCTACAGAATACAATGGGAACTTAATAAGGCTTTTTGTGCAGGAGCATACGTCAGACCTTCTCGGTTAACGGAAGACCTTGGCTACAGTACCCTCAAATCAAGGCTGATGCCGGCAAATGAGGCCATTCTAGCTGGCGGCTGAAGAGTGAACAGATTGTGTGAAGCGACTGAATTTTACTACGTCCCTTTCAGGAGTTTTTGAGTGACGATGTAATTTCGGAGCCAGATGGCAAGGACGCAGAAGGTGAGCCATTAGCGTTGGAATGCAGTTACCGCATGAGGGAACTGGCGCCTTATCGGCTTAGAGTACAGTTTTTCAGTGAACTTAACGATGTGTAACTCGCAGCAATGCGCTGAGAACAATTCAAGGTCAAGCCCGACGATACTGTAAGGGAGATTTTTAGTGATACTCCACCTTCCTCACTACCCAAAACTTTGTATAGTCCATACTTAAGTTCAGAAAGCACAGAATGGAATGTTGTAATCCCCTGGGGCAGCCTCCTTTAGGATGCGCCATGCTCCCAACTACAACCTGGAATTGTGAAAGTAATTGAAAAAGCCCATCTGAAAAAGACCAGCGAGTAATGATGCGACAAAACGACCGAATCCAAGGGCAACTTTTCAAAACCACTCATGACAGAAAACATTGAGTAAGGCACATCTTTCAGAGGTTGACTCTAATCGGGAAAGCTTGGGTGATCTTGGAAAACTTCTTCGTGGGAGGAAGAAAACATCAGACAAAACAGGAAGGTCGTCAAAATTGCTTCCAGCGACATCAGTCACCTCAGATTAGTTCTTATCAATAGCCCCAGAAAAGTGGAGGTCTGAACTTTCGAGCGATTTCTTTTGCTATTCGTGGAGCTCTTTCTAGTTTTACACAATAGGAACTATGATGAATAGAATGATATGCCCCATGAATTCTCGAAACAGGCCTTTTCAGAATGGCTGGTGGTAAAAGGTTTGACAATTTCTAAAATCGTCATGGTTCCGCATGACTTCCTCCTATAGAAACATCAAATTATGCAAATAGAAGTCTGAGAACAAAAATTTCCAGTTGAGCATACTCTCAGACACCAGCCTGACCACTTCAGCAGGGTCGATGAGTTCGTTGTAATTAATCACCCCGATCTAACCCCAAGCTCCCAAAAAATTGCTACAAAGAAACTCACAAAGAATTCGTATCTACTGAGAGAAGTCCGAGGAGCATTCATGGATACCACGATGAATGTAAAGTGTCGCAGTCGTCGTCGTCGTCGTCGTCGTCGTTGTCTGCCTGAAGTGTTATACAGTCGACCAACCGGTCAGCCAGCTGTCGTCGTCAACGATAGCAATGAAAAATCCGGCGGACTGTGATAAGAACAGATAACGGCAAACGGCAAAGACTCAATGTGATGACGAATAATNATTTCCAGTTGAGCATACTCTCAGACACCAGCCTGACCACTTCAGCAGGGTCGATGAGTTCGTTGTAATTATCACCCCGATCTAACCCCAAGCTCCCAAAAATTGCAACAAAGAAACTCACAAAGAATTCGTATCTACAGGGAGAAGTCCGAGGAGCATTCATGGATACCACGATGAATGTAAAGTGTCGCAGTCGTCGTCGTCGTCGTCGTTGTCTGCCTGAAGTGTTATACAGTCGACCAACCGGTCAGCCAGCTGTCGTCGTCAACGATAGCAATGAAAAATCCGGCGGACTGTGATAAGAACAGATAACGGCAAACGGCAAAGACTCAATGTGATGACGAATAATAGCGAAAGACGTAGACGTACAACAACAGAAAAAAGCTCTTCAATGCTAGCCAGGAAAAAAGAACGTCTGGAAAGACCTGAATGAATGAGAAGCCAGATAGATATGTATTTGTGGATTTACAGACCAGAAACATCACAAAAGTATCACCACATAAGCAATCATAAGGTATCTATCGCTGGGGACCATAAAAATTGAAAAGAAACCTTGTTTTGAGTTGATGTTTGTTAACTGCTGTTTATCACAGCAGTATGCCATCCGAAAGTCTCACAAGGGTGGCGATTCGTAGGCAAAACTTTCTCGAATCCATACTTGTGCTTCCCGGGCACGGTGCCCAAATACCGTACCCAAATAAAGGGAAGGGTATTTACCTTCAGGGAACCAATTCAGTACTGGTTGCTCAACCTCACACACCTTCCTGGAACCACCAAAATTCCTCCTGACTCCTCTAATATGGCTGTTTTCAATTGGGCCCTCTTCTAAGCGGCTGATAAACTTTACGTTATAAAAGTGCCAACATCCAACACACACCCAAGGCAACCCCTCTGCCGTATCCCTCAAGTTTTGCCTGTGACTTTTTGAGCGGAGTTGTCTACCTCACCTCATCCCTCCTACTCCCATCACACTCACAACAAAATTGCAATCGCATAAGTAATTGGGAGGGGAAATTATTCAAATAAGCATATGAATACACAATTTTATTAGTGTAGGAAGCTGGAAAACATTTGAGGTTGTTCAGGAAAGTGATTGCAGCAGGGGTTCCTCCCAAAACTGAAAAATTGTGACAGGACAGTAACATATCCGAAGTGTTGGGATGAACTCATCGGTTTCTCCAGATGTTTCTAAAGGGTCATTCAATTGCGATACAGTTAATTACTCTACCATAACATTCACAGAAAAATTTGCAGCCGATAGAGGAGACCATAAAACGAGAGGGTCATAAAAGTCATTCCTTAGATAAGAGACGTGTTCGAAAATCTTTCAGGCAGGCGCAGGCTCAATATTCACAACGGGCTTTGAAGAGAAGGTCAGGATCTTGTAGAGGAGATTCAAGCAAAACAAGAAAGCTTTCAAAAACAAGCAACTTCCGAGTTACTGTCCCTCAGAGTAAAACTTAACTCGTACGGGAAGGACTTAACACCACCTCATTCAAAAACCGCTGCAAAACGGCCGCGGAACTCCCATAGCGCTTGGGATGTCTGCCCCGATCCTTATTCGCCCTATTTATGTTTCGGATTGGTTTTTATTGATTTGAAAGAAGCAGCGGCCGTTGGTTGTTAGCGGTACCGATAAAGAAGACCATCGAAAAGCTGTCACTTCTACAAAGAATCTGGTCTTTTCAGAAAAAACACGGTCACATAGCAACGATATAGATGGCGATGGGGGCCGAAGACGACACAATCGGAAATGATCGCCGTAAATTCCGTTTGAAATTGGTGAGAAAATGTTTCTGATCGTCTCGCACTGATCGCTGGATGCCGCTGACAACGACCGACCGACGACGGACGACGGAACGATGACGGCGTGAATAATTCAAGGAGATAAGCATCGTTTCCCAGATGAATAATGACAGCCTAGGCAACAGTGATATCACGAGATTCATCACGGATCTCAACGTCTACAACGCCCGTCGGAAACAAAGCATTTGTAAGAAGCGCGTGGGAATGCTAAACTGGGAGGTCTCTAATTCACGATATATGACTAAGGGCGAGTTGTTTTTGGTATTGACCCATCCCCTTTCAGAGTCCCCAAGCATACAACTCCCATTCAAAATATAGTAATGTATGAATGCTAATTTGACCTCTTTTAGGATTTGTGGGGAACAGCCGACGTACCAGTCAGGAAGGGCTACTATACCCCTCAAATGGCCAGGTGCACATTTACTTTTACTGGCTCTTGATGTCTGGTTGGGCTCAACGAGTATGAGGTCTGGATTTCGTTCCCACGTGGGCTGCGATCTCAAGCAGATCCCATTGGACCCGAGTAGCATAGTTCATAACCCAGACGCTACATTGTGACTTTTTGTGGCTGAACCTTGGATTTTATAGGGACAATAGACCCTTAAAACGTCAGAACATGTACGAATAACCTGCCCTTCATTCCTGGCCCCATTCATGATGAATGTCTGCTATCAATTCCCTTTAAATGGTAGAACGGTATGCATTTATCACGCAACAAGTCATGTCCCCTCGTCGAATTGTCTGAAAAAAAGGAAAAAGTTCCCCAGGATATGAGTGTGCATGGACATTTAGGGCCTATTACAACCCTTCAATTGATACATTCATTGGTAGTTACGGGAAGTATAGCGGTATTTGCAGCTGTACATTCCCACAATTCACGTGAATATTACACACAAGCCAGGATTTTTTGGAAAAACTGCGAGAGCCAAATGGTACGTCTAGTGGGACGGTAAACATTGAAAAGCTTTTTGATGAATTCCTCTATGCCCTTCACTCTCTGTAGTACTATTCATAATACATGTTTACTCAGATCGAATTTCTTTTACTGCCAGCAATGTTTGCCTTACTATTCTTTTTTTCGATTAGCAATCAGATAAGACTCTCCTCTATGGCTGGCACGCACACAACAATACTGCCGTTACAGCTGTTTTTTGACTGAACCCATCGAAAATTTTGCGAAACAAAAACGCATCCGAATTTTCGAATCCAGGGATCAGAGTCAGCTCTTTTTTGATGTTGTCATGTAGAATAGTAGACGGAAGCTTCAGCACAATTTACAAAACAACCGCATATTGTAGAGAAAAATAAAACTTTCGCCACAAAAATATAATTTCTACCAGTTGTTCTTTATAAGGAATGAGAAAATAAAGTCTTCGGGCGTTAATCGATCTCTTTTTAGGCATGCGCCCTGCATTCGAATCCCGTTCAGAATCGGTGGATGCGTACTTAGCCTACACAATGACTTATGAAGGAGATGTAGACTCCAAGATAGTGCTTTTATCTTTCCAGATGAGTGTGGTACCAATCAACCGACCCTGGAGAGATGGAAGAAGAGGAGTTCAGTAGGCTGGACGAGTATCGATCCTGACTTCGACTCCGGACCATTTGTGTATAACAGTGCATATACCTATCAAATCGATATGCTTTCGGCATTCATAATAATATTAGGACTTGGGTTACGCTTCTTGCAAATATAAAGTATTTCTCCTATTCTCCTATTCAGAACGGGCAGATTCCCTACTCTCCTTCCCAAACTCCCAGTTTAACAACTTCTAGTTGAAGGTTCATCTTGAAATCAAGTGGTTTTAGTTCAATAGAAATATGGAAAGGAGAGTATCCCAGGCAGTACTCTAGGAATTTTACCTTAGGATCTTAATTTTGAAGATGCAAGATGCCAAGCATGCCAGCGAAGAAGTAAAATCGAAGAAAACTAGGAAAGAAGGACGAGATGGCGGACACGGTACACATCGTGTCTTGAAAAGAACCCATCAAGTGTTCACGAGCACGTCGCTGATTCATGGCAGTTCTGCCGCATTATGTGGGATAAAAACCGTCACAGACTATGCTAGGAATTTCGAGCGTAGCGCAAGGTCATGGTAAAACTACAAAAAACTACTATGCAATGGTGGCGTCAAGTATTTTCTATGACTGAGTAGAGTTTCGTGTGCACTCCGTCTGAAACTAGTCAGACAGCCTTCCTACTAGCTGTGGATTAGCCTCCATGAAATTGTAGCCTAAGAGAGTTGTTTATGAACTAGTTCCTTCATTACAGATCCAGTCAACTATGGTACTAACCCACTTTACTAGGTCTAGAATCGTTGAGCGGCTAACGTGAGTAGTACCAAGTAGCATTACCCACTCATATGATGTGGGGATCGAATTCTGTATCGATGACCCACAAAAATCGGACAATTTACATTAAGTGGGTTCACGTCATCAGTACCGAACCCGTCTGGGAGGATGAAAGCATCACAATGTACATCGGCCGGTTTTCGCAAGCCTTTGCTCATATAATTTGCATTTGAGCAAAACTACGTTAACGAAAGGAAGTTGATGGGTGGGGCGGATTGGTTACTCGCGAAAACTGTATTTTTTGATAATTTAAAAGGGTGACGTGGGCTACCTTAACTCTTCAGGTTGGTTCCGGCGAGTACAATCAGGCCCCCCAACTAGCACAGGTGTTAATCTACTACCACCCGTCGGGATGAAATTGAAAAACGTACTTCTACATGGATTGCGCAGGTTATTGTAGGGGACTGATACGCAGTCAGAGTCCAAAGCGATTGCGATCAAAAGACAAACGCATGGCGCATCTCGAAAAATACTGATCAGCGCCGATCAATCCGTTCTTTTTAATACGCATGAACAGTTGTAGTCAGAGGGCGATTTCCAACTCCGCAGCCTTTATCTACGGAATATAGGTGGTGGTTATTAGAATTAGTTTACCTCCCTATTTATTCATTTATTTACTTATTTACTACTTATTTATTGATTTCTATTATCGCAACCACTATAAAGCTAGAAGGAACGAGTGTAACTACGCCGTCTCGAACCAAAAGAAGATGAAATAAGACAATGCGTTGATCCCTCTTGTGCACCTTGACACATGACATCTCCGAACAAACAACTTTTTCCAGAGGCTAGGGGAACAAGTCAGCAAGCAGCACCAGTTTCTCCCAAATGACGAGTTCCTCAGGGCTTCCCAACTGGTCACAAATACCCACTCTTTGAAGTTGAAGATTGGTTTGACAGCTTTGGTCACCTACATAGCAATCAAAGCAACAACGAAATAGCAAGGCAGCCTGCACAGAGCGCTGGCCACAACTATTCGTGGGAGGTGGGGATAAGGGGGAGAGG